TTTTTGTATATATATATATATATATATATATATATATATATATATATATATATATATAAAATAAACTGTCATAAGTCGCTAACATTTTTTTTTGATGACTTCATAAAGGGTTATCTTTTTTTCTTTTTTGTAGGGCATTTAAACTATTTATTTAGCCTATGGAATTTAAAAATTATTTTATTGTGTGTTTGTTTTTATGCTAATTATTCAATGCGAAAATTTGATGATGTCGGCAAAAAACCGTTAACTCATGTCTATTGTTTAATAGATTTTTATTATTAAGTTTCTAAATAATAAAAATCTATTAAGCAATAGACATGAGTTAACAGGTCTTAGAATGGAAAATTGACGACTTTATCCCACAAGTTGACATTCAATTTAATGAATATCTAAATAAAATGGGTTTAAAGATATTCATTTGATTAAAATAACCGACTTGTTTGCAAGAATTTAACCCAAGTATAAACATATGGAGAAATAAGAAGAAGAAATATTTATATTGGCAAACGACGATTTACAAATGAAGATTAATTTTCGAATCCTATTCAAGACGAGGTGTAATTGTTTCATACGCAATAGAAAAATTAATTGGTTAATTACTTTTAAAGTTATCCTATGCATACGAAGCTTACATTTCAAATTAATTACATGAGCACTTTCTTCATTTTTATTTAAACTAGTCTTCTTCTTATAGGAGGACTGATATTACATAACAGTTCAGTGCTCTTTTCTTTGTTTCTCTTGTTTCAAGTCTCTTATTCATCTGTGAGAAGATTGTCCAGCATTCACTGCCATATAGGAGGACTGATATTACATAACAGTTCAGTGCTCTTTTCTTTGTTTCTCTTGTTTCAAGTCTCTTCTTCATCTGTGAGGAGATTGTCCAGCATTCACTGCCTTATAGGAGGACTCTTGTTGATATTGTCCACATTAACAGTTCAGTGCTCTTTTCTTTGTTTCTCTTGTTTCAAGTCTCTTCTTCATCTGTGAGGAGATTGTCCAGCATTCACTGCCTTATAGGAGGACTGATATTACATAACATTTCAGTGCTCTTTTCTTTGTTTCTCTTGTTTCAAGTCTCTTCTTCATCTGTGAGGAGATTGTCCAGCATTCACTGCCTTATAGGAGGACTGATATTACATAACATTTCAGTGCTCTTTTCTTTGTTTCTCTTGTTTCAAGTCTCTTCTTCATTTGTGAGGAGATTGTCCAGCATTCACTGCCATATAGGAGGACTGATATTACATAACAGTTCAGTACTCTTTTCTTTGTTTCTCTTGTTTCAAGTCTCTTCTTCATCTGTGAGGAGATTGTCCAGCATTCACTGCCTTATAGGAGGACTGATATTACATAACATTTCAGTGCTCTTTTCTTTGTTTCTACTGCTCTAAATCTCTTCTTCATTTGTGAGGAGATTGTCTAGAATTCAATGCCATATAGGATGACTGATATTACGTAACAGTTCAGTGCTCTTTTCGCTGTATCTGTTGCTTCAAGTCTCTTCTTCTTCTGTGAAGAGATTGCCCAGCATTCACTGCCATATAGGACGTAACAGTTCAGTAATCTTTTCTTTGTTTCTATTGCTCCAAGTCTCTATTTAATCTCTGATGAAATTGTCCAGTATTCACTGCCATATATGAAGTGAATATTACATAACAGTTCAGTAATTTTTTCTTTTCTTTCTTTTTAACTAAATTTTTTTTGTTTTTTGTAAACCTCCTTTCGCTATCCCATGGGCCTCTGTTAAAACACATCCCAGATATATAAATTGTTGTACTTGTGTGATTTTGGTATCTCCAACTTGTAATTTGTACGCTGGCGTCATCCTATGGCTGACACCCATGGATTCTGTCTTCTTGCAATTGATGTTTAGTCCTTTCTTCTCGCTTTCCTTCATGGCTTTCTATATCAGTAGTTTTCTTTCTGTCTCTGATATCAACATTGTGTCATCTCCATATTTATCGATTATAGCCTCCAGTAATGAATTCTGGTCGGCCTTCTTTTTGCAGGATGGGTTCACTGTAAAGGTAGAATATGTCCGGTGAGAAGACACATCCTTGTCTTACATCCCATTCTATTTTTTTTGCATTTCGAATTCAGGTGGTTCCTTTCCAGTATAAGTTCTGTATTATTATTCGTTTGTTTTATGTTTTTAGCAGCTACCTGGCTGGCGTCTCGGTTCCACCCTTTCACTGATAAAACGGTTAAATGTAACTGTCTCTTCTTCTCGAACAGATTCTTTTCCCACACTTCCCGTCTGTGGAACTCCCTTCCCCTTATTTGCTTTCCCAGATGTAATATTCAATATTCAAGTGTAATGTCAGTCGACATCTAACACTCTGAGCTTATTCCCCGTCCTCCTCTGTATCCTTTCCTCAATCATGCCTCTTTACTCTTGTTCACAATCCTCTGTAACCCCTTGCATGCTAGTGGCATTTCCGCTTTGTTTGGGGTAAATTGCCTTAAGAAAAATATCAACACATGGGTAATTTAATGCCGAAATTTAATTTTCTTGGAAGCATTAGTAATTTCATTTACAAAAATACATTGCTGGTAATTTTATTAAATGTATCGATGACATTTTTTTTTTTAAAAATGGATTGCTGGTAATAATTTTTTTTTTACAAAAATGGATTGCTGGTAATATTTTTATTATATAAGAATAAAGTGTCATTGCTGACACTGGGGTTTGAACGTAGATCGCAAGAGAACAAATACATGCGACCTCATTAGACTAGTTAGATCACGTGACCATAGAGAAAACATATATATGGAGGAAGTCTTGTGACGTCTAGTTGTGTTTGTTTTTCTAGTCTATCGTTTATACTACATATTCGCTATTTCTCTTCTATCCCCTATTCGGACTGCTCTTGTCTTCTCACTAGACGAAGTACTATTACTACAAGTTGATTACTATTACTACAAGTATTATTCTAAGACGTCTGATACGAGTATTATTTCCTTAAGTTCCTTCTCTCTCCCTTACAGCAATCACACCCAGTAGACCTCTGCATTTAATGACCCTTAGGGGTCATAGGTATTTAACAAGACCTGATGGAGTAAGAGATAATGAATTTATCCACTTCCTTAGTATCTTGGCCTCAGTTGTGATTTGTAAAGAAGGAATTGTTTATAGTAAAAATAGTAGTAATACATTTTCATAGTAAAAATTTACCAGTAATCCATTTTTGAAAAAGAAAATATTACCAGCAATCCATTTTTGTAAAAAAAAAATTGTTATGTCGTCAAAACGACTACTTGTTGCTACTGTTATGGTAACAATGTATACTAGTTGTCCCTTGGTCAATACCAATGTAGTAGAGACTTTGTTATCGCAGATATTAATTATAAAACGCCGATCAATAATACTCGTCTCAGACGTCTTAGAATAAACAAGGAAGGAACAAGTAAGAAATGCTTATTATATATATCTCCTGAACTAGGGTTGTAGTTGTCAAGGATGTATTTGTCGGAGTTAACTTCTCCTTCAGTTCGTTAACCCTTTCACCAGGGGTCTCTCTTCCCTGGCTATAAATAGTCGCTGACCCTTCGCCTCTTCCTCTCTTTTTCCTCAGGCCTTTGGGCCAACACCTGGAGGTAAATATCTCTTTTTCCTCAGGCTTTCAGCCTTATTACCTCGAAAATGTAAGCGCTCACAGGAATAGCGTTTCCCAAATGCAGGGAACACGCTAAGCACAATACACACACACACACATATATAATATTCACACACACACTTTTCCTTTGTAACTGTTCCATGTAACTTGTTATTAATATATATATTTGTATTAATATATATATTATCGGTCTTGTGTTTGTTTTCTTTGCCTTCTTCTTTGGACTTAATTAAAGTCCAACTTTCTCATGTAGTTGGGCCGGCTAGCAGGAAAATCTGAACCCACATGTGTTTCTTCTACGTCTACTCAACAACATCACAGCCACGGTCCACTACATATGCGCTAGTAAGTTTCTTCCACAAAGACGCCCTTTATATAAAGATAAACTACATGCGGCCTCTGATCAAGAGGTTTTGACGATCGTAGAACCACCTGTTAGGGTTTCAGCTATGTTCAAATAATGAACCCCAAAGCTGGGATGAAAACACTATTAAAGTAGAAAAATTCATTTTATAGTAAACATTTAAAGAAATTAAATTTCGGTATTAAATGACGCATAACAAGTTGATATGCCGTTAACTGAACCAAAGCAAACCAATCTACACAAAGTAACACTTTTGGGGAAGAAGATTTCTGAGCAGAACTTGCTACTCATCAAATGAAGACGAAGGGAAAAGGGATCATTTGCCGCCTTAAACATGCTATGTGGATGTCTAACCGGTGGGAATATAGAATGTAACATATATATAGATATCAACCATCGTGATAGCGACAAAGTAATGAGAGGTTAGCAATCTTTCGTCTGCGGGATAAGCTCACAGGATGCGTCAGGTGATTATATTTGGCTTATATTCTTTGAGTCTGTCCTGAAATCATATTGGTGCACTATTTTTCCTAAAGCGTTAATGCTTGAGAAGAAAGTCTGCCATAATCTACTTCCATTCTTCTTTTCTTCACTTTGAGCGTATTTCTTTGATAGCATCGGATCTCCGGCATAATTTGCGCCAAAGAAGAATCTCACAAGTGAAAAGGAAGCCTCGTTCCCGGCCACAGACGCGCACAATTTACTCACCATCCAGAATACATCGTGTTAAAACTTAGATGGAGTTGAAATCTTTCAATATTCAAATATTCAAGTTTGTAACGACAGAGAACGATCGATAAATGACATCTGAATATCGATTATTACCTCGGAGAGAGGAAGAAATGTAGAAAGGAAACAGGGAGAAAAGAAATCAAAAGAGAAATGCTTAAAGAAAGAAAGTAAAATGATTCAATTTGACAACGACAGTGAAAGAACTGATTTAGAAAGAAAAAGCAAACAAACAAACGAACGAACAAAGTCAGGAAACAAGAAAGAAGCGGAAATAAAAGGTAAAAGACAATGATTGAAAAGAAAGAAAGAAAGAAAGAAAGAAAGAAAGAAAGAAAGAAAGAAGTGGAAATAAGGATGGTGAACGTTGGAAACGGAAGGAAGAAAAAAGGAAGGAAGGAAAGTAGAAAGGAAAGAAAAAGAAAGAAAGAAGTGGGAATAAAAGCTAAAGAATAGTGTTGAAAAGAAAGAAAAAGAAAGAAAAAGAAAGAAAGAAAAAAGGAAGAAAGAAAAATGAAGACGTGGGAATAAATGCTAAAGGAGAATGGCGAAAAGAAAGAAAGAAAGAAAGAAAGAAAGAAAGAAAGAAAGAAGTGGGAATAAAAGCTAAAGAATAATGTTGAAAAGAAAGAAAAAACAAAGAAAAAGAGAGTAAGATAAAAGGAATTAAGAAAAACGTAAGAAGTGGGAATAAAAGCTAAAGAAGAATGGCGAAAAGAAAGAAAGAAAGAACAAACGAACGAAATAAATAAAGAAAGAAAGAAAGAAGTGGGAATAAAAAAAAGGATGGTGGAAAAGAGAGAACGTTGGAAAACGAAGGATGGAAGGAAGGAAGGGAGGAAAAAAAAAAGAAAGAAGTGTGAATAAATTCTAAAAAATAATGTTGAAAAGAAATAAAAAAAAGAAAGAAAAACCAATGAAAAAGTGGGAAAGAAAAATGGAAGAAAGAAAAAGGAAGAAGTGGGAATAAATGCTAAAGAATAATGGCGAAAAGAATGAAAGATGAAAGAAAAAACAAAGCGAAAGAAAAATGTAAAAAAGCAAGAAGTGGAAATAAAAGCTAAAGAAGAATGGCGAGAAAAAAAAAGAAAGAACAAACGAACTAACGAACGAAAGAAAGAAAGACAAAAAGAAAGAATAATGTTGAAAACAAAGAAAAAAGAAAACAGAAAGGAGGAGAGAGAAAGAAATAAAGAAGAAAGAAAAAAGGAGGAGGTGGGAATAAAAGCTAAAAAAGTATGGCGTAAAGAAAGAAAGAAAGAAAGAAAGAAAGAAAGAAACGAACGAACGAACGAACGACCGAAAGAAAGAAAGAAAGAAAGAAAGAAAGAAAGAAAGAAAGAAATGGGAATAAAAGAAGGATGGCGGAAAGAGTAAACGTTGGAAACGAAAAAAAAAAGGAATGAATGAATGAATGAATAAAAAGGAAGGAAGGAAGGAAGGAAGGAAGGAAGGAAGGAAGGAAAGAAAAAGAAAGAAAGAAGTGGGAATAACAGCGAAAGAATAATATTGAAAAGAATGAAAAAGAAAAAAGAAAGAAAGAAAAAACAAAGAGAAAGAAAAAGGAAGAAACAAAAAAGGAAAAAGTGGGAATAAAAGCTATAGAAGAATGGCGAAAAGAAAGAAAGAAAGAAAGGAAAAAAGAAAGAAAGATAAGAATAGATTTTAAAGATGAAGCTGTAAAAGAAATATGTGCAGACGTACAAAGAAAAAAGAAAGAATGGTAACTGACAGACTGGAAGTTAAATGAACGTGATGTAAAAGCAAGAAATCAAAATGTTTAAATAGAAAGGAAGGTGGAACAGAAACTGAGAAGGTAAAAGTGGAATTTGGAAATTTAAGAAAGAGAGATTAAGAAAAATAAGAAGAAATAAATTAGATGCAAAGTGAGTATATTAACGTCATATCAATTGGTAGCAACGAACATCGGCTTCCCGAAAAAGCATTTCCCTATTTTTAACAAAAAAGACCATGTCCTTGCTCTTTTCGCCATTATCTTACCAGAAAACTCTTCTAACTCATATCTCTATCTTTTCGTCGTGTTTGCTATCAAGTGGATTGCTCTCAACCAACCAATTGATTCACGCTAATATTATTACATGTTACTTGCGAGAAAGAGGTCAACCCGGTTGTCACGATCACCCATATGTAAGCAGGTAAGCCGACCTTGCGTTTGATCAGTTGAATACGGCAGTTAAAATTAAACTTTCATGTACAGAAGACTATACCTGACTTTTCCCGAAATGGAATGACTTGTGAAGTTCTCATGTCCAGTTGAATGTAGTACCAATCGACAGTCATCCAAATAGAGAGAATTATTCATGGCCTATTTGCGTAGCCAAAAGTTATCAACATGAGAAGTGAGCAAAGATTTTCCTGCCAAGGAAGGGCAACCTGAAGAGCTATTTTTGCATATGCTCTTGGTAGTTTTCAACAGGCTGAGGACAGAATAATGTTTCCTTTGCTATAAAAACGATGTTGAATTGGCAAGGCAGTAACCCCATCTCGACACCAGGATTTCAAATAGGAAAATAAGCGTAGATAGTGGGGTGTTTTGAGAAACGTTATAAGAGACACTGGGTTGAATCCTGCATATGGGAGGTACTTAGTCATGTACCAGCTACCCTAAGACCAGCGACGCCCAGCTTTACGGCAACAGTTTTCTACGATGTGGCACCTTTCAACTGGGCAATGTGCCAAGCCACAGTGCACGGGTTGTACTGGAGGGGGTTTGTATTGCTCAAGTTACCATTGATGGGATGAGAGATGAAAAGTTTCGCTCTTCAGATAGTAGTTCACCGTGACACCATCATCAATTAAAGAACATGCTATTTTCTGTGCAAGCCATTATAACTTGAGGCATTTTGATTCACAATGGCTGACCCACATCCATCGTATTTTGTAAGCGTATCCTAAATTACTGAATAAATAAAAACATGATCCAAGGAAATATTTAAATGACTTAATTTTCGATTCTCGGCTTTCTTAAATTGCTGTTTGAATTCGACTGAGTTGAATGATTTAAATAAAATTGACTTCAATTATTTGTTCAATTTATATCTTAATATCATGGATGCAAATATTAAATTGACACGAATTTCAAAGATGATTCGAAAGATATGGAATAGACATTCAGCACGAAAATGTTACTTTCGCTGTTGAAATTGACACACCGAATTCTGTATGCAATATTATTAAATATGAAATTATTCTAATTTAAATCCATTTCTTTAAGTGAATTATGGATTAGAAATTACGTGATATCTTATTGAGAAAAGTCGTAAGATATTTGTCTTTTGTGGCCAAGCGGTAAGATGCACCGGGCTAAATGGTGACACTCTCTGCTTTTAGGGACGCAGGTTCGATTCCTGCTAAAATTTGCCAACATTCTGGCCTGAAAGTGAAAATAAATAAATATATTGTTCAATGAATAAACGGAGCGCCTACTCAAATACGAGTAACCGCTAAAAATAAAGTTTAAAGTGATACAAGGTGGTTTGTACAAATGTATAGAGCTTCTGATATAGTGGTCCATAAACGGTGCGGCGCGTCTCATAGTTGCGGTGGAAGAGGATAGTCGGTGAGGCGGAAGAGGATAGCAGATGATGCGGAAGAGGATTGTAGGTGAAGCGGAAGAGGATACCCAGTGAGGCGGAAGAGGATTGCACGTGAGACGGAAGAGGATACCCAGTGAGGCGGCAGAGGATTGCACGTGAGGCGGAAGAGGATACCCAGTGAGGCGGAAGAGGATTGCAGGTGAGGCGGAAAAGGATAGCAGGTGAGGCGGAAGAGGTTAGCAGGTGAGGCGGAAGAGAAATGTAGGTGAAGCGGAAGAGGATAGCAGATTAGACGGAAGAGGGATAGCGGAAGAGGATAGAAGCGGAAGAGGATACCCAATGAGGCGGAAAAGGATAGCAGGTGTGGCGGAAGAGGATAGCAGGTGAAGCGGAAGAGGATAACAGGAGAGGCGGAAGAGTATTGCAGGTGAGGCGGAAAAGGATAGCAGGAGAGGCGGAAGAGGATTGCTGGTGAGGCGAACGAGGATAGCAGGTGAGGCAGAATAGGATAGCCGGTGCGCCGAAATATGATAGCAAGTGAGACGGAAGAATATAGTGGGTGAGGTGGAATGATTGAAAGACAATCAAAGAGTTACAGTTTCAAAAAATATGCAAAAATAAATATGATTTCAAAATTTAAAATATCATGGATTACTTGTAATTGCATGCATTCTTCCCATAGTTATAAATAAATATTGACCGATTTTATCATTGTGATATTTTTGCATTATATTAAGTATTAAGAATATAGTAACTAGGCTCCGCAAAATGGCGGAGAGAGTTATCATTGATAATGGACTGACTTCGTATCCGTGGATTATCTCTCTTAATCCTTCCCTCCACTTTTTATTTTTAACTGTACTTTTTATCACATAAAATTTGGTGAGGCGCCAGTAAATTTTCATTCTGAAAATGCGGCCCAGAGAAAAAAGTTTGGGAACCTCTGATCTAATACAGGGTGCGTATTTGAGAACGTACAGATTTAAGATTAATACTGCTTCCCACTAACTTCTAATACATTTATTTTTCAGAAATCAAGAATCGCAAACTCTGATGACAAATGAAATGAAAAGACATGCTGTGATTGTGGCATTAAAGGCTAATCAGCGATTTGGATATTGCACGTTGCAAGATCGTTTGCCCACAAGACACGAAAAGAGTTAGAAGACACTGACAGTTCCCCCAATGTCTGTATCAAAACGTAAAAGATATTCTACACGTCCTGATAATGTGAGAACATCCAAATTTATTCAGGAAGTCAAGCAGACAATTGATGAAAACTGAGGCCAATCAATGAGGTCAATTGCCAAAAAGCTCCATGTGTCTGAAAAAACAATCAGAAGAAGTGTTCTGAAGACATTCGATACAAGTCCTACGTGATGAAACGAGGTCAATTTATGTCTGAAAAAAAAAAGAAAACCGTTTAAACAGATCCAAAAGGCTTTTAATCAAACTTAAAAATCCTTCAGAAGCTCGTGTGATTTCGTTTTTCTCAGATGAGAAAAATTTTCATCAAAACTTAACAGAAGAAATAACAGATGGCTTTGTTCAGATCTTTCTGAGGTGCCAAGAGCGATGCGTACAAAATTTCCTTCAAGTGTTATGGTACTGGGCGTTGTTAGCAATGAAGGACATGTTATGCCACATACACTTTTTTCCACAAGGTCTTAGAGTAAATGCTGCTGCTTACATTGAGGTTCTAGAAACAGTTGTCAAGCTCTGGATTGACAATATATGCAATAGGCCTTATATATTTCAGCAAAACTCGTCTCCATCTCACAAGACTCTACGAACACAAGAATGGATGGCTGACCATTTGTACGACCACATCACACCCAACATTTGGTCTCCTAACTCTCCAGATCTCAATCCACTAGACTACTATTTGTAGAGCGTTGTTGAGAAGGAGGTTGATAAACAGCCTCATAATATTCTCTTAAAGCTGCAATAGTTCGAGTAATGTCTGGCATAAATAAAAACCAATTAATCAGAGCTTGCAGCCGATTTCGACCTCGTGTAGAGGTAGTTTTTGGTGCTAGTGGTGGTTTTATTGAATAAAATTAAATAATAGTTAGCTAGATTTCATGTTTACTAATCTACTAAGTTGTAATCAAATATAATTATATTCATTTGTTCAGCATTTTTTTTTACTAATCCATAAAATCTGTCCTCAGATACCATCAGCACCCTATATATAAAGCTCAGTTGATGTGTAAATGTCTGGTCGAATCTTTCTTCTTCTATCCCCTAGGTATCGTATATTTTCAGGATGTTGAGATCATCGCGCTCCACATCTTCCTATGTTTGCGTTTTTACTATCCCTTCCAGTCACTTTTCTGGCATTGATTTACACAAGATGTTTAGGTATGTTATTCAATATTTTTTGTTCCTCTTGATTTCATTGTCTTGTGAGTTCCATATTCTCCCAGCCCCTCATCCTCATTATGTGCTATAGATATTTTAACTGCTTCTTTCTTATTCTAAGTAGAATTGGCCATTTTGTTTCCTTAATTATATCCATTTAGTTATATAATCTATTCGTGGTATTATTACCAACTTTCTGTCGAACTATATCTGTACTGCCTGAAATCTCCTTTTCATATGTGAGGAAAATGTCCAGCATTCACTACTGTATAGGAGAACTGATATTACGTAACGGTTCAACAGTTTTTTTTCTTTGTTAATAATTACAGTATTTTGTTTCTTAATACTTGTTTGTTTGGTTTTCTTTAGTGCCATATCAACCTCTTCTTCATCCGTAAATAGTTTTTGGTTAGTTGATGTTGTTTAGCGGCATATCAACATTTTTTTTAAGCATTACACCCCGAGCAAGGCGTGAAGCCACTAGGATGCAGGGGGTATCAGAAGATTTGGAGCGAGAGCAGATAGGAGAGATAGAAGAAAGGATGAGGAGAGGGATTGTGGATAGATCAAGGTAACTGGAGATGTCGATTGACATTACATTTGAATAGTTGGAGATTATGGCTCTCAGGGAAACAGTAATTGGGAAGGGTGTTACATAGGCGAGAGGTGCGAGGTATGAAGCTATTGGAGTAGAAGAGACGGCTACATTTAAAAGTTTCTACAGTGTAAGATTTGGTTTGGATGCCAGCTTCGTAGGGCGCTTGAATTCATGGAGTCTGGGAGCCAGTGAAAGCAGCTCATCGGAGCAATTACCATGAAAGTATTTGTAGAAAAGACAGAGAGAGGCGACGGCGCGTCTGTGAAAGAGTGACTGTAGACGAGATGCAAGATCAGGGCCAATTATATTACATATCCGTCTCTGGATCTTGTCAAGAACTCCGAGGAAACAGAAGGTGCCCCAGACCATATATGGCAGCAATGGGTTATTTATTACCGAAATCTAAATATTTTGAGCACAATTTTATGACCCAACTGAATATATTTTGAACGCCTTCAGCTACAATATTGTTGATCATTTTTTTTATAAAATGTATTGCTGGTATTTTTACTACAAATTATGTATTGTTGTATGCATTTTTCTACTTTCATAGTGTTTTGTTTCTGTTTGGGACGCTCACTATTTACCCATAGCTAGTTGCTCATAGCGGGAACCCGAACAGGTTCCCCTACCCTGGGTCAAGTTGGATCTGGGAACGACAGCAATGAAGAGATGGTTCAAAGCTTCTCAAAAACTCCAATCTCCCAATTAGAGGCCTTGCTGCTGGATGTAGTTTATCATCATACCCAGGACTATTCTTAATACTTAATGCTTATTTTCTGGAAGGTATCTTTTGTTTTTTCACTGCACTCTCTAATTTTCATGTCACTTTTCCGTCTCTCTGTTAAAACACATCCAAGATATTCAAACTTCTTGGACTTTGTGATCTCCAATAGGTAACTCACATCACGGAATGTTTCTCTTACTGACAACCATATAATGATGTTTTAGAATCGATGGTTAAAAATATGCCTGCTTCATCCTGTGTGTGTGTGTGTGTGTGTGTGTGTGTGTGTGTGTGTGTGTGTGTGTGTGTGTGTGTGTGTGTGTGTGTGCTAATTTTACTTAAAGTTATGACTGTACACCCGCTGGGATGGAATATGACACAAGCCAAACTTATAAGATTCTCATGTGCATAGGAGACCTGATAAAAAGTATTGGGACTAGTGATATAAAAAGAAAACTACAACGCATATCAATTCGGTATTTAATCTCCTTCGAAGTAGTCCCCTTCTGAAGCCACTCATTTTATCCAGCGTCATTTCCATTGATAGAAAAATTCCTGGAACTCTTTTTTTTTGGGGGGGTGGGGAAGCGAGCAACTGCTGCTTTTTTATTTCCTCGACATCTTAAAATATTCTTCCTTTTAAGTACAATTTGATTTTTGTCAAGAAAAAAGTCACAAAAGGTGATACCTTGGGCATATATGGTGGTTGTCACACATGGAAAACGTTGCTCCTAGCCTCAATTTTTTTTAAGCATTTCATCCCAAGCAAGGCGAGAGTGCCACTAGGCCACAAGGGGCTACAAAGACCGAGAGTAATAATAAAGAGGGGGGTGTTTGAGGAAAGGATATGGAGAAGAACGAGGATCAGGATCAAGGCATCAGAAGGTGTCGATTGACATTACATTTGAATATTTAAAGATTATAGATATCAGTGAAGCAAAATAAGAGGAAGGGAGTTACAGTGTCGGGAAGTGCCAGAGAAGCCCTTGGAGAAGAAGAGGTGGTTACATTTAACTGTTTCGACAGTAAAAGGGTTGGACCAAGATGTTAAACTAGTAGCACTCTTAAATTCATGCAGTCGGGGTATCAGTGAAAGTACCTCGTCAAAGCAGTTCCCATGAAAATATTTGTAGAAAAGACAGACGTAAGCCACATCACGTCTGTAGTCGAGATGCCAGGTCAGGACCTATCACATTGCATATTCGTCTTGGAATTTTGTCGAGAACCTCGAGATGAACAGCAGAGGCACCAGACCATAAATGGCAACAGTATTCCATGCATGGACGAATGGTAGAGCACAAGCCATGGTCACTGATGGAGCCTATTTGGTGTGTTGAGGCGACCACACTCGACACACTTTGCTTCCAAGCACTGTTATAAAAAAAACAGAAGTGAGAGGGAAAGTTATTTATTTATTTTTTAATTGTTTCATCCCAAGCAAGGCAAAACATATCACTTTGTAAGCGCAACAGCTTTCAGGATCAATCTGCGTTACCATAGCAACAGTCCCGATACTTTTTGATCTTTCATCGTATGAGATTAAATCTAGTTTTAAACAGACTTGAAAAGATGTTAAATAGGCACACAGAAACGTTAATGTCCAGATGTCGCTCACACGTTTAATATTATTTGAAACTAACCGATGAGTAAGGGTGTAGAAAGGAAAAGATTCGTAATTGACCATTTTTTCCTTTTCACTGAAACAGACGTTTATCTTCCCGTCCTGGGCATGACGATAAACTCCACCCGGCAGCAAGGCCTCTGATCGGGGTATTGGAA